AAGACACATAAAACAGAAACCATATAAATCCATATAAAAATCCCTAGGTTGTACATTTTAAAATGAAATTCCATATTAAACCATATAGATTCCAAAGTGTAAACCAGGTCGTTCCATATAGGACATATAAAACCATATAAATCCATATTAGTTTCCTTATCTGGATCAATATGGGTTCTATAGGGCATTTTTAATAGGGCATAGAATACAGCCATTCCACGTTTCTCGGCAATTTTTGTATCGTCCGTTATAATAAAAAAATTTTAGTAAAAACTACTGTAATTATTATGCTTATAAGCTTAAGCTTAATTCTTACAAGCATAATAAACCTGTTTGCAATGGTAACTATTGCGATAGTATTTAATTTAATTACGGTAGCTTTTACTCACCATTTTTGATTATTCGGACGCTACAGAAATTTCCGAGTAAAGTGGCATTCCATACGTCACGGTTGTTTGACTTCTGATGGAAGAGCTGCTTTGTTACCAGATAAAATATGCTTTTGTTTCCTATCTGCTTATTTATTATTTCAAGCGCCTCTCCAACTTTGGGATTCTGCCTTCGCAGTTCGTCGACTTTTTATTAAAGGCAACCGATATCCCCCTGGACATTCTAAGATCTTCTGCAAAACAGTGGGCCAAGAAGTAATCGGCCGAAACTTTGAATAGATCTTGTTGTTCTTCTTGAGTAACACCATACCGAGTTTTTTTACCGCTAGAATATAACTACTTATATAAAGTCTTGAAAAGGCAACTCGGCGGATTAAGTTTTTACTCTACTAGTAAATACTTAACTCTAAAGATCGTCTATTTGGTTATCAGAGTAAGGAGTAATCGGGTGAAATATATCACTTTCGGCTTCCATCTTGATTGTTTTCTGATCCAATTATGTCATTTATGCGATCCATGACTTCGTATAGTCCTTCCCAAGAAGTCTTAATTTTTTGGCTTGATGTCGTATTCTATCGCTGGCACTCTGGATGTTTAAAGGAACTCGGCTGTGAATGTCACTCATCCTACAGACATTTTGAAACAATATAGATTCAAAGTGCCTGCCTTGGTCTGAATGCATCTCCATTGAGAAATCATAACGACACATCCACTCCTTAATAAGGGCATCGGCTACTGAGGCAGCTTCTTGGTTTGGCAAGGCGTACGCTTTCGACGACCTATTTCCTCTTAAAAACATTTATCTTGACAATGCTGAAAATTTCAGGAAACTTATTGAGCGCACTCGCTTGCGATCGTGGGGACAGTGTGTGGGTGAGCAGCTTGAGTCCGACCCTTGGAGTCTGCCGTACAGGTTCTCCAAGGCTGGAGGACTCAGCGATCACCCTCTAATCAATGTTCGTCTGTCTGACGGTACAATCACTCAAGGCTTTGCTGATACTGCTGCTGCATATTTAGACCATTTTATTGCCTGTGATGATCCGACAAAAGATGTTTTTCAAAAAGTGTTCAGGCACACAACAAATAGACTGGTTAGATGTGTACCCACTGCTGACCCACCGACCGTGACCGAGGAAGAAGTTATAGACCTTCTTTGTGGTCTCTCCATTAAAAAAGCTCCTGGTCCTGATAACGTCTTCCCAGTTATTCTTCGTACTGTTGCTCCTGCTATTGCTGAGTTTCTTGCTAAACTCTTTAACGACTGCTTACGCTTTAGTCATTTTCCAGAAATTTGGAAGGAAGGCAAGCTTATTCTCATCCCAAAGGCGGGCTCTGTCTCTCGATCTGACCCTCTTAAAGGTCTAAGACCTATCAATTTGTTACCTATTCTTGGCAAGCTCTTAGAGCGCCTTATCAAGAGTCATATGTTCTCTGAAATTTCCGAGGTTTCTTTTCATCGTTCAGATCAATTTGGGTACATTTTAGCGGCTGGTTGATATAAGTGACAACATCTTTTTCTTCAAGTATAACATGTTTTAAATTTTGGGAATCTTCATTATTGCCCTCATCGGATTGCTATTGCAAGCTCAATTTTTGTTTCAATGTTAACGCTTTCGTCGAAAAGCGCCAAAGCCATTGACTCTGCTGTCAAATACTAAAGATGTCCGCAAAACTTTTTTATAGCTTTACTTGATAAAACTTAGTGAGTGCTTTTATAAAAAAACAAATCTTTAAATAAATCCTGCAGTGGTGCTTTTGCAGTTATAGGGCAACACGCTTTAATGTAAGGGCTTGTAATAAAAATACAAATATCCTTAATACCTTCAATATCGTGCAACGTTAGTTTAAACTGGCTCCTGAAGAGGAATATTTTAAAACAATATATAGCCTTTGCTTTCTATTAAATATTAATTAGTTCTTAATTTACGCTTGCAAGCTATTTTTAAATAAGCAACTAAAAAAACTGTGGTGATTTATACCTAAAATAGACAACTATATATAGACAACTTAAACCAGCGCCAATTGGTTAACCAACTCCGTACAGAAATAAAGCAAAAATGCCATCATGTCGGTTGAACCTAACTTTTAAATGTTGACAGAATTTTAAGAAACTCTTTAATTAAATACTTGAAAAAAAATTTAATTTAATTAAATGCTTAAAAACAGTGCATAAAACTCGTCGGCGATGCTTATTAATTGCCTCGCACACAATCTACTGCCTGGGCTGTCATCTCGGCAGTGAAATGTATGCTTGGTACGTAGGTATGTAGGTACTATTTTACACTTACAAATTATTTTGCGGTAGCACAAAAACTGTTTATTATATTAAACTATTGGCAACTTTTTGACCTACATGAGGCACGGGTTAACATCTGATCAGTGTAAAATTTGACAGGGCTTTATATATGATCAAAAGTAAAAAATTAAGGGGGTGAGATAATTGAAATTCAGAATTTAAAAAATAAGGACCACCCCCCAAGTAACATTTTTAGTTTTATTATGGTCTTCAAGAACGCTTTAAAACAAAATTTTGTAGGCCTACTGTATATTATAATTTGTAAAATAATATACAGGGTGTCCGGAAATTAATGCAAGGTCCCAGATTCTCGAGACAAATTTAAGGGACACTTATTTTTTAGTTTTGCCAATTGGCCCTCTTTTTCGGAGATACAGCCCCCTAAAACCTCATAAGAATAGTATTTTTCTTATATCTCAGAACCCTGTTGTACGAGAATCACTAAATTTGTTATACAGGGTTTTTTTGATATATGGAATCTGATAGTGTTAAGGTCTTTGGAGCCACACAACTTTGGTTGCGTATTTTTTTCTAATATTAACCCGTAAGGAAGTACAATTTAGAAACTTTTGCCTTCTAAAATTTTTTTGTAAAACGTAATGTTTTTGAGAAAAATGGCAAAATGTCCCAAAGTTGTGTGGCTCCAAAGACAAGGGGGCCTACGAAAAAGCGTCTTAAGGGCGTCCCCAGCCAAAAACCTTAACACTATCAGATTCCACATAACAAAAAACCGCTGTATACCAAATTTAGTGATTCTCGTAGAACAGGGTTCTAAGAAAAAGACAATTCTTATGGTCGACTTTTAGGGGACTGTATCTCCGAAACCTTTTTCGCGAATTGGCAAAACTAAAAATACGTCTCGAGAATCTGTCACCAAATTTTGTTGCATTTATTTCCGGACACCCTGTATTTCACCTCTTGTGCCAACATTCCTATACTTTTTATTTCGTTTAATATAATATAATATTCTCAATTATACTCAATAAAATAAATCACAAAAAAACATTTTGAATTTCCTAAATTACCTATCTAAAAAGAAACCTCAGGGAGACGTATTTCTTTTGATCAATTAATCTCAAATTTTGCAAGAATTTGTTTTTTTTTTTAATTTGGGACTGATGTGGAGGTCCAGCCCAATTGAATTTTTTTTGTGTTTCCTAATGGGATGCTCCAAAAATTAAATATCTTTGAATTTTGACCTGATACAGCTAAACCAAGCACGGATTTGTAATCTACGACCAAACATTATGTTTACGTGTCCGAGAGTTTAGCTGTGATGTTTTCACCTCCCTACAGTGTTATTTATGTATCACTATAATACAATAATAATTATTGTACAAAAGTCTATTTATTTATCCGTATTTATTTCGTCGCTAGTGCCAAAGCTTGACGTGTCTGCAGATTGCCTCGGCATTTCGCAAAGTTACTGATTTCGAATTTTTTCGATGACATATATATATGCATATATATATATATATATATATATATATATATATATATCAATTGCTTAACTGTTTAGTGGCGGCTGGTGAATTTTGCGTTTACCGATATTTTGGTTATTAGACATGGGACCCACACAAAATTTATAAGAGTTTATAATGACACTAAATTAACAAGTTCTGCGCAAGCAGAATTTAAATAGAAGTTTGCGAAAAAAAGATAGTTTTTGCTGCAGCTGCAGGGGATGCAGCCTGCCCTCCCTAATAAAGATAATACAAATTTATACATACTTTATTGACAAACGTCAAAATTTATTTAAAAAATCCAAGTATTACAGATTTTATACCGTTTTAAATTTGTACTACTATTCCTAAAATAATAAAAAATAAAATAAAATCTGTAATACTTGGATATTTTAAAGAAATTTTAATATTTGTCAATAAACTATGGTAAATTATAAATTGCACCACTAAAATTTGTATTATCTTTATTAGGGGGGCCAGGCTGCAGGGGAGCTGCAGCAAAAACTATATTTTTTCCGCAAACTTCCATTTAAATTCTGCTTGCGCAGAGCTTGTTAATTTGGTGTCATTGTAAATGTCATATCCACCAGCCGCCACTTAAGCCTTAACATATGTAAATGTACAATCCACGCATGTGGATTGTATGCAAAAGTTGTTTTTTCAATATTTAATAAAATAATTAACAATCGGTCGGTTATGTTGTTGTTTATTATAATTTATAATATATAATATTTTTCAGTTAGGTATCTACTTGGTATTATACGAATCGTAAATAGAATTTTTAGATACACGTATGTGTGTATTACGCATAACATATTTAAGTGATTAATAATAAAATTTAAAAATTCTTACTAAAATCAGCTGGATTGTAATGTTTGGGACAGTCCAGTCCAATTCTGGACAAAAATGGCACCACATTAGGTCCGTATCCTTGGTAAACGCATTGGCCTAAAGCAACCACATACACGTTGTCAAAAAGTGCAAACAATTTGGCACTGGGTGAATGTATTGAACATATAACCGTCCTTCCATCTTCGGCTAACATTTTTAAGAGTGATATGCATTGCGAACACGAGAGATCATCCAAACCACTGTAAGGATAAATTTATTTATTACGAATAGAATTGTGTATTTTTGCTACTTACGATGTTGGTTCATCTAGAAATAATAAAGGAGGATTGTTTATTAGTTCCAAGGCTATAGCCAATCTTTTTCTTTCACCTCCTGATAGTTTACTGGTTGATGTATCAGCAGTTTTATTTAGTCCTAGTAAGTCTAATATCTCCGTTATCTAAAATTAAAAAAATATAAATATTTTTATGAAAAGTAATTTATATAAAATTTGTAAAATTGTAAAATCGAACAAGAACAGATTTTCATTGATTCTGATTAAAGATATGCCCGATTGATTAAAATTATGACAAATTTTTTTTTAAATTAAGCTTTGTATCCCTAAAAGTGTAGGTACTTTGTGTACTACTGCTATTGGTATCTTCGTTTGCCATTGTAACTCGATTTGTAACTCCTTTTGCTTTGAAAACACCCAACTATAAAGTGTCGGAAGGTTTTTTTGCTTTCGGAGAGTTTTAGATTATTGGGGCGATTTTCTCATTCAACATCACTTATTGTCATAAAATGTACGTAGATTTCAAAGTAACTGTTATAAACCAAATCATAATATTTTAAATAAATTATAATTTATAAAACCTGTTAATTTATTTTTAATTTATATTACCCAAATAATCCGGACTAATTAAAACCGCGGTGATCCGGATTGGGTACGCGGGATAGTTTATTATTAAAAAAGATAAATATTTATACAAACTAGTTTCTTAACAAAAAATTATGTAATACAGGATAAGTAGGTACAAAATAACTAAAAACTTAATTTTATATATTTTTTGTAAACTAGTTCTGCCCACTTTATGCACAGATTAAAACTTAATTGCCTCATTATGTTTACAGTCTTTTGTATATATAACTCTGGATTTTCATCGTCACTACATGTGCAAAAATTTTCTCTGCTGTTCTTTGCCATTTCTGTCATTCTAAGCCAAAAAGTAGTGGTAGAGAAAAAGCCCAGTTTTCTTTGCCGTTTTTCTGCTCTTTCTCTGCCAAAACGTAATGGCAGAGAAAACTGCTATTTCACTGCCAATTGGTAGATAAACAGTAGAGTAAATGTATACAAAAAGCGAGAAATGGCAGAGAAAGGCAGAGAAACGGCAAAGAACGAAAGAGAAAATTTCCGTGTTCGTTTGATCCTATTTATATTAGTTTATATGCATATTGACTAAGGGGAATTAGGTCTTTGGCATTATATTCAGTGTCTGCTTCATTATTTGCTACTTGACCAATAATTTTATGCCTAATTTTGTTAGTCTCATGACATTTTGAACAATGATATACAAGGTACAGTTTGGTGGTAGATATATTGTTGTAAATTATCCATCCTCACTAGTCTGCTCTTCTACAGTTCCGTGAAATGTCCTTTTACTTGAGAAACAAATGGACTTTAAAACCACTGTACAAAAATTTGCTGTTGTCATCCTTGCATTGACAGGAATTGTACATTAACATTTTTAAATGCTCTTTGATTTTTGCCTTCCCTATTACTAAGAGTATGAAAACCATCACCATTGTGTTAGATAATTATTAGATTAAGTATACATTTAAATTAACACTAGCACCCTTGGTGCGATTCGTAAGTAGAGAACCATGTTAAACGTCACATAAATTGTCTTTGTATATAATATTTCTTTGAGAGGCTCACACACTAAGGGGTTTGGGCATATTTTCGTGAGAACTGAATGTATTAGAGTTTAGTTTGTAGTCAGGTTTCTTGTTGAACACTCGTGTATAATAATTAGTAAATTACTTAATCAACTATCCGTGTTTAATTAAAATACATCTCTAACAAGTCAGAAGTGGGATTAGAGACCCAAATTAGTGATAACAAGTTCGAATTAAGTTTACGCTAAGTGATATTATTGTACGTCAATAATATGTGTACATAAGTGAAATAATTTAACGCCGCCAACGTTAAGTTATACGAAATTGTATGTGAGTGAGTGATCGCCTAGTACGTGCTCCAGCTCCAGCTCTAACTCCAGCTCCAGTTCCAGTTCGAACGACACGCAAGGTGAAACAGCTAAGAAAGTAAATAGTAGGGTTAAAAAACGCCCAAAAAGGATATCAACAAGAACAGTAACCATCGAAGGGCTAGCAAACCTTGAAACGGTATTACAAAAATTTAAAAAATACAACACAACCTTACTCTTAAATTAAACAAGTGCGCCTTTCTGCAAACGCGAATAGAGTACCTGGGCAGATAAATATGTGCAGAAGGGGTTCGACAGGGAAAAAGGAAGTTTGAGGCCCTAATAAAAATGCCTGCCTCTCCCACTGTGAAACAAGTACGCCAATTTTTAGGCCTATCGAGCTACCTAAAAATTTATAAAAGAGTTTACGACAATTTCCGCACCACTTACAAAAAAGGACAACTGGTGGTCATGGGCCGAGCCGCAACAAAAGGCATTTACAACTGTAAAACAGATGCTTACAACTGGCGCTATCTTATCCATTTTGACCCCGAATTAAAAAGGAAACTGCAAACAGATGTTAGGTCAATTGGACTTGGGTGCGATGTTACTACAATTCGACAAGGAAAATCGCCGACGGGTAGTATGGTACTACAAATAAAAGGCTAGAAGAAAGTAGTTAATTACACCCCATTGAGAAGACGCCCGTGCCCTTTCACACATTGCACATTGACCATGTCGGACCGTTTGAAACAAGTTACCGGAAACACAAATACATATTTATAGTTGGTAGACGTTTTTATAAAGTTTGTGATAATCGAACCAGTGCGCGATGTTAAAACACGACATGCATTAAAATCCCTGACCGATAATGTACATTTATTTGGCGTTCCGAGGCGTATAATTAGTGATCGGGGTACCGAATTTACCTCAGCCAGTTTTAACGTGTTTTGCAAAAACTATGGTATTAAACATGTTATAAGCACCGAGGTTACTCCGAGAGCCAACGGTCAGTGCGAGCGTTATAATCAAACGGTTGTTAACGAGTTAGTTACGACGGCGGTCGGTAAAAATCCTCGCGAGTGGGACAAGTACGTTAAACCAATTCAAAGTGTCACACAATAAAGGAATTAATGCAACCCCGATGGAGGCGCTTATTGGTTGGTACAGCAGTTCGAGACCAAAATTGCGCAGCACATAACCGAAGGTCAAAGACGGCAGAAGAAACGCTACGACAAGGGTCGTCGCGACGCTGTTCAGTATGAAGTAGGGGATCTCGTCATGGTCACCATCACCAGTGAAGCCACCGCTAGTGGAAGCCTCGTTATGAAGTCAAGGACAAAGCGGTGGCCGCGGGTCACCTTAAGCGGTGGATCAGTTTCCAAGGCGACGATATGTAAGTACATAATATGTTATATTATGTTATGTTATGCTATGTTATGCTATGTTATGCTATGTTATGCTATGTTATGCAATGTTATGCTATGCTATGTTATATGTTATGTTATATTATGAGTATAAGTACATATAAGTAGATAGCAAGACCCAGAGGGGTCGGTTTGACAAAGTGTCACAGTAAAGTAGGATCCTGAAGGATCAAAGTAAATACCAAAGTGGTATGATGAAGAAGGGGGGACGCAGTGCACGCGTCTTTCCTTACGAAATATGTGGGACACGGCCAAAGTGGCGTCTTACGAGGGGGAACAGAGTGAATATTTTGTTCCCGAGGTTGCGAGCTACCACTTGCCAAAGTGGTTCGTTGCAAGCACCGAGTATGACCAAAGTGGTCTATTTTAGGAAAATGATCCCGAGGCAAGTGAGACCAAAGTGGTCTGTGGCCAGCACCAAGTAAGACCAAAGTGGTTTAAGCAAAGTAAGACCAAAATGGTTTAAGCAAAGTAAGACCAAAGTGGTTTAAGCAAAGTAAGACCAAAGCAAAACCGAAGCAAGATAGGTTGTATGTTTTATGGAGGAGTGACGACAGCTCCCTCCATTTTGACTATTAAGTAAGGCTAACAGAGAGTTTTCATCGTAGGTCCATTGGAAGTACAATTGCATCCAAATGGCGGTGTCCTGCAACCAAGAGGGTACCAGCCTCAAACAATCCTGCCAGAGAAGGTCAGGGACTGACTTACTCAGGATGGCCGAATGTTAGATAATTATTAGATTAAGTATACATTTAAATTAACACTAGCACCCTTGGTGCGATTCGTAAGTAGAGAACCATGTTAAACGTCACATAAATTGTCTTTGTATATAATATTTCTTTGAAAGGCCCACACACTAAGGGGTTTGGGCATATTTTCGTGAGAACTGAATGTATTAGAGTTTAGTTTGTAGTCAGGTTTCTTGTTGAACACTCGTGTATAATAATTAGTAAATTACTTAATCAACTATCCGTGTTTAATTAAAATACATCTCTAACAATTGTAACATGCTTAAAATTTTACGCGTTCTTTGCTTATTTTTCGACCTGTTGCAGTCTTTTCCAGAGAACGAACAAACGTTTTCTTAGATAACGTTTTCCAATACAGGGCAGATTTATCTACATTATACAGTAGGTATATTTAAGTAGGCGTGAGATTGAACTCATTAATTTTTCCTACAAGTGCAGTTATGAAGGGATCGATAAAACCTTAATCATTGAACAATTTTTCTCCACATAAGTACTTTTAAAAAACGCAGACCATGTTATTATCTAAAATTAGAAATCCACTTCCTGCTATAGCTGCAAATTTATCATTTCCATAAGTTTATGTATCTATTAAGGTACAATTGCTTTGCTTTGTCAGATAAAATTTCATATTAAATAATGATGTGGCTTAATCGTTGTATGCAAAACCAAGCTTAAGAACATTTTTACATTTATTGATATTCGGCCTTTCTTAATGTTTAGATATAGTAGAAGTATAGTATAGTAGAAGTACAAAATTCTTTCTAAAACTTACCATATCTTTTAATTTTGTCTTTGTTTTTCTTAATATCAGAAATTGTTGATGTTTCCACCCTGTATTCCGTTTACAACACATTCTACTTTCACCTTGCTTTAGTCTTTCTAATACCTTTAACGAATTTTTGTTTAATTGACAAAGTATGCTTTCTTTTAAAATCCTTTTTCATTTGTGTGTATAAAAAACCCATGCGATTTTAGTTTATTTCTTTGAAGTATACTTCTACAATTTAACTTAATACACGGATAAGAAATAACAAGTAAGTACTATCAAATCCAGATTATACGTAATACAATCAAAAT